AATTTAAAATCAGTCTTGGTTTTTCTATAAAAACTTCTTTAAATATTTTTTCCTTTCAATTTCCCTCTCAAAATGTAATTTTGCCTATTAAATTAGAAAGCGTCACATATATTACATTTATCATCCACATTATGAACAATAAAGGTTTATTGTGCAAATAAACCGTTTAATTATTTAGTTTTAAATTAATGTTGTCACATTAAATATATAGTTTTTAAATAACCCTGGTAATATTCTTTAACGGTCCACTTTACCGCCCGCATTCCCTATACCCATTTCCATAAAGGTGAGAGACAGGAAGACTATAAAGAAAGAGGAAGGAAGAAATCGAATACGAAGCAACACGTTGCTTACGAATGGGAAAATTAACCCGGAAATAGAATTGTAATATATTACATTTTATAATTTTTACCCGGGTAAAGTTAAAATTAATCTCGAATAATTAATTTTCAATATTCATTTGATTTTTACATTCGAATATCAATATTCATTTGACTCTACACTTGTATATTTTTTTCGAATTCATATTCATCTGAATGAAATTATTTTCAAAGAAAAATCAAACCCTGTGTCAAGTGTCTATATTTGATAAGCAATTACAAAGTTGGCACGCGACTTAAAAACGTTATTCATTGCCTATGCGCATACAATACAATGACGTGACTACTCAGCATGCTAATTGTTTAAAGATAAAGAAACAAGAAACTGCACTGAGGAAAGTAGCGAAAAGAATTCACGAGAGAGATTATACAGGATGTCCGGGGAGACTCGTCAAAGAGGCGGAATACTTTCGAACTTTAAATTTAAAATAGCCACAGGGATATATTTGCGTGTTTCGAAAAGTATTCGCGAAAAAAAATTTTTTACCACCAATTTAACCGATACTAAAATGTAATTTCACTAAATTGTTTCTTTGAAAGCGACTTATGGGAAATACAATGTATAAATTCTTGTACATTTAAAATTCATTTGAAATATATTCAAAATACATTTTAAATTTTCTTCAAACGTACACGAATTTCTTTAATTGTAAAATTATTCGAAAACATCAATAACTTCATTTTTAAATAAATATTTAATAATCATTATTTTTTTACAGAAAAAAGAATTATCCAAAAATTTAAATTCAAACCTTTTTGAAATTCAATAAATTATGATATATATTATTATAAAACATGAAGAAATCGATCACTCCGAGTCTTCGACTCGGAGCAATCGACTTCTTCATGTTTTATAATAATTAAAAATGACCGAGTGATAAAATTATTATTTTATATTATAAGAATATTGTCAAGTACTGTAACTTCTTAAAAATTATTTTCATTTCAATTCAATTATTATGTTCAAGAATTTTTAACTAAAATTCTTCTTTAAATCAATTATTTTTAATAATTTTTGAAAAAGTTCTTTGATAATTTTCAAATCCATTTGTATACAATTCAATTTTACGAAATTTCATCGATTATTCGAAAATTTTTCAATTAAATATAGATTAGAGAATAAAAACTTCCAATAACTTAAAAAAAATTCAATTAAACTTTTTCAAAAAAATTAAATCTACACAATTTTTAGTGAAAAGCATGAAAAATTCAAATTTTCAAATTTTCAAAGATTATAATTTAAAACCTTTTCAAGATTCAATTATTTCTAAAAAAAAAATTCACGTTATAATACTTTTAATATTCAATTATTATCTAAATTTTTAACTGAAATTCACTTAAAAATCAATTTTTATTTATTTTATCAAAAATAAATAATTTATTGAATAACTGAATGTTTCTTAAAATTCAATTCCCATAAAGAATTTTTTTTATTTATTCAGAAATTTTATCAACAAATTTTTAAATAATTGAATTCTTTTGAAGAATTTTTAAGAATAATTACATTTTTCGAAAAATTCGATTAAAATTGTATTAAAAATAATTGAAATTCTGCGATGATTTTTATTATTTGTGAAAATAATAAAACTCATTGAACAAGAATTTTATTATTTTTGAACAATATTTAATTTTTGCGAAAAATATTATTACTCTTGAAAATAATTGAATTTCTGCAGTAATTTGTAACTTTTCCAAAATTAAATTTTTTTTTCTCTTTTTCTTAATTAAAATTCTTCTATACAAATGCATTATTTTCAATAATTTTTAAAAAAGTTCTTTTATAATTTTCAAATTCATTTGTTTACAATTTAATTTAAAAAAATTTCAATTATTCGTAAATTCTTTAATTAAATATATATTAGAAAACTAAACTTCAAATAATTTTTAAAAAAATCCACAATTAAACTTACTCAAAAAAATTAATTCAACAGAATTATTATTTAAAAATTAGAAAAATTCAGATTTTCAAAGATTTTAATTTGAAACCTTTTCAAAATTCAATTATTTCTAAAAATTCACGCTCTAAGGATTTTAATATTCAATTATAATCTAAAATTTTTACTGAAATTCATTTTTTAATTAATTTTTATTAAAATTCAATTAGTTAAATACGAAAAAAACAATTTATTGAATAATTAAATGTTTTTTAAAATTGAATTTTTATAAAAAAATGTTATGAACAAATTTTTTCGACGAATTTTAGAAAAAATTAATAAAATTGAAATAAATTTTTAAATTATATTAAAGAATAGAATAATTCTTTTTTATAATGTAAAACCTTTTTAAAATTTATCTGTCACTAAAAATTACAATATTGTAATTTTTCTAAAATTCAATCGATGTTTCTTGAAATTGAATTCTCACAAAAAATTTTATCAACAAATTTTTAAATAATTGACTTCTTTTGACGAATTTTAATTAAAGTTTTTAGGAATAACTACATTTTTTTGAGGAATTCGATTAAAATTGTATTAAAAATAATTGAAATTGTGCGATGTGATTTATTATTTAAGAATATAATTGAATTCATAAAAAGAATTTTGTTATTTATCAAAGTAATTGAATCCCTGTAAAAAATATTATTTATCAAAATAATTGCATTATTTCAAAGAAATTTATAAAAAAATTTGTAAATAATTGAATTCCTGTGAAATTTTTATAATTTATGAAAATAATTAAATATTTCCGTATAGAATTTTATTAAATTAATTGATATTGAAAATCATTGAATTGAGGCAAATTTTTGAAAATAATTAAAATTTTGCCTAGAATTTTATAAAAATATTTGAAAATAATTGAATTTCTTCGAAGATTTTTATTACTTTTAAAAATAATTGAATTTCTGCAATCGTTTGTAACTTCTCCGGGTATATATTTTTTTAGTGTTTTTATCTAAAATTCTCCTTTAAATCCATTATTTTTAATAATTAATTAATATAATTTAAAAATTTAACTAATTTCAGAAGAATTCATTCGAGATTGACATTTTATAAAATTTCAAATTGAAACCTTTTAAAGTTCATCTATTTATGAAAATTGTAAACGCAACTCTTTTAAAATTTAATTAATTTTGAAATATTTAAGTAAAATTATTTATTAAACAATTTATAAGTATAATAATTTTATGGTAGTTCTTCAAGAATTGAGTTATTTAAAAAGAAATTGTCAGAAATCTATTGTTAGAAATAGAAAAATTTGAAGGTTTTGTATTATGAATTCGTGGTAATTTTATAGTTTCAGAAGCAAACAAAAAAAACATCAAAATTCAGAATTCTGTTATGAATTCTAAAAATTTAATTTTCTCCAGTACTTTTAATTAAAAAATCCCTGATTTCCCTGACCAATTCTACTTTCCCTGACTTTTCCCTAAATTTCCTGACATGTGGCGTCAGATATTTAAAAATACATTTAAAATACACTGAAAATTAATAACATTCACTCGAAAATAAATAAAACGAGCGAAACACATTGAAATATTTTCTGCAAAATGTGAATCTTTTTGTACAGAAGAAAAAAAATTCTATGCAAAATAAATTTGAATGAAAAAGGCTAGACGATCATTTCCTTCCGGCGGGATATAGAAACTCTAATAAATTTAATCAACAAAGTACGACAAACGTTTCCGAATATCATGTGAAGAATGACTAATGTATCCTGTTGCAGTTCGTGTTTCTATAGTCAAAGATTCTTTAAAAAAAAAAAAAAAAAAAAAAAAAAAAAAAAAAAAAAAAAAAAAGTTTACACATATATAAACGATTGGGAGAGCAAGGGAATGAATTCTCAAATTTTAATTTCGTATCTGGCTAATTATGATTTACGGCAATATCCTTACGACATCCTGATCAGTACGCGCGATATCGCCCGCAGGATATTCAAATGCGATGAATATTGCCCGTCGCGATAAACGGTCTTTCAAAGAGAGAGGAACGAGGTAGGAAATCATGGGGAGGAAAGAAAAAGGGATGAGAGAAATAAGAAAGATGGACAGAGAGAGAGAGAGAAAGAAAAACAAGACAGAAATAAGAGAGAGAAAGAGAGGAATAAGAAAGAAAAAGAGAGAAAAAATAAAGAGAGAGGAAGAGATAAAAAAAGGGAAAAAAAGAAAGAGAGAGAGAGAGAGTAATAAAGAGAGAGAAAGAGAGAAAAAAAGAAAAAGAGTGAAGAGGGGAGAGTTAAAGATAGGAATAGTGGGTGTATGCAATACGTATGAGGTAAATGACCGCCAGGTGATATTCCTAGTAGTCCATTCGGTATTCAAGATGACCTTCCAGACCGCCGCATCCTTTCTTAACCGAGAGAACTCTTGTGAGAGTTGTTTCAAGATGTTATTAATCGCTTACAAAAGGTTTTTAATTGAAATGAAATTGTGTAATTTGAATAGAATAATGAAGAAGTTGATGGGCGTGAAAGTAATTACATCTTACAGTGTTGAAAAACAAATCAAACCCATTAAATGCGGAGCTACAGAATTTCCTATCTTCAATTCCAAACACCATAAAGAATATTCAAGTTTTTTTAAATCTCCAAATAAAATTCTTAATTGATTCAAGTTTTTTTTTCCCCCTTCTTCAAAAACAATTTGCCCAGCAAAAATATGATAAATGATTGAAAAAATTTTACCTTATCCGATCGTTTCTTAATAGGTGGTGTAGCTCCACTAGGACAAACGTTAAGATCAGTCTCAGTAGCCATTCGATTGAAACGTTGCATTCGCTCACGAACACTTAGTTGTTCAGCTGATGATTGTGGTGTCGTTGGAATCTCGTCCTCCTATTTTTTTTTGTTTGTTTACAATCATTTTTCTAATCTCAATTTTATGAAAAATATTTAACAAAAACCCAGTGAGAAAATCTCATAAATATGTATACCAGAACGAACCACAAAAAAGCAGAGGAATATTTTACCATACACCAAATATTTATCAAATAGAATATACAAAATACGAATACCAAAACCAGAGAAAAAATTATGATTGGAAAATGAAATCGAACAACACCATTGAAAACTTATCGGAAATATAGCTGTATGTAATTAAAATCAAGTCTTTCCTACTACGAATTTTGAGTTAGTAGAGAGATTTTTTGCCTTCTATATATGAATGAGAAAATATGGAACAATTTCAAGATCGAGAGTTAACTAAATGATTCATAAGAAGATTAGTTTACGAATTAGAAAGTGCAAGTCAATTAAATCCCATACAAGAAATATGTGTGTGTGTGTAAATTATGAACATGTTAATTAAGAGAATGATTTCATGCTTTTATGTAATTTATAGAATTTACAGAGAAAAAAAATGTATTTGATTCAAATAAATGATTACTATTATCCAATAAACGTGACTATTAAAATAAATAATTTTTTTTGAGTATTTTTATTGAATCAAATAATTTTTATTTAAAAAACCACTTTAAGGTTGTTTACTTTAAATATTTTCCTAAAGTTCAGAACATTTAAATGAACGGAATTTTTTTCTACTTAAACATTTTTAAAAACTACTGTACACAAAAAGGAAAAATAATAAAAATTTAAAATTTACTAAATTAAAAATTACATTTTAAAATATTCAAAATAATTTAAAAAAAAAATTAATAGAAGTAAAACAATATTGTCAAACAATATCGTCTTTTATTTAAACGTTCGAAAATTTAGGAACATCTTTGAAATTATTGGTTCAAATACAATATTTATTTAAATATTACATCGTTTATCGTAATATTATGTTTCTAAAGTTTTGAATGTTCAAATGAACGACGATATTTTTTTGCTTCTTTTAGTTTGTATTTTTTTATAAAAAAAAATAATGTTGTATATTAAAAAATACAATCTATCTATAGATAAGATTTTTATTTTATAATTAATTCAAAATTGTAAAGACAAATAGCAATGATCAGAATTTTTTTCACTTCTTTTCATTAAAAGACTAAAATTCTGTTAAATATGTTTTGTTAAATTGAAATTATATAGATTTTTGTTCTTTTCTTCTAAAAAAAATTAGAAAATTGTTAAACAACTGTGATTATGAAATAGAAAATTTATTTATTTTGCATTATTTTTGTTTATGAATCACAACTTCTAAAAAAATTATTATTTTGTTTTAGAAAAAGAAGAAAAATATTTGCACAATTCCAATTTTTAATCTCATTTTTGGAACAGAATTTTCCACAGGAATTAAGACATTAAAAATTTCAAATTCAAAGCTTTTTTCAATTTTTTAAACAATTTTACTTTTTTTTATTTTAATTATTATAAAACAAAAAGATATCGATTGCTCCGAGTCGAAGACTCGGAGTGATCGATTTCTTTATGTTTTTTAATAATTAAAGATGATTGAGAGATAAAATCATTATTTTATATTATAAGAATATTGTCAGGTTCTATAACTTCTTCAAATTATTTTCATTTTAATTCAATTATTATGTTCTAGAATTTTAAATTATTTTTTATGAAAATAATTGAATTCTTTTTGGAAAAATTTATTAAAATAGTAGATATTGAAAATCATTGAAATTAGAAAAATTTTTGAAAAAAATTGAAATTAGGACAAGAATTTATTTGATATTTATGAAAATACACAGTTGAATTTTATTTTTTTTAAATAATTAAATTTCTGCAATTATTTGTAATTTCTTCAAAATTGAATTTTTTTAGTGTTGTCAACAAAAATTTAAATTAGAAAATTTTTAAATTCAATTATTTTTTAAATTGCTAATTTTATTTGAAAAAGGTAGGAAGAAGTTAGCCGCGCGAATTGTTGCTAGTTTAATTTTAATTATTATTCTTTTTTGTATAGTAATTTTTAAAAATATTTAAACAGAAAAAAATGTCGTTCTAAACTTTAGGAAAAAGAAATTTTAAAATAATTATTTAAACATTACAATATTGATTTAAATAAAAATTATTTGATTAAATTGAATATTTATTTTGTAAAAGACAATCAATCTATTATTTGAATCAAACAAACTTTCTTTCAGTGTAGGCATAAAAAATTAAATTTAAAATTTTTTTGAACATTTTCTATACTACAATTATGTTTTACTTGATTGTAAATTTTTAATTCTTAGTAATAAAATAGAATGTTCATTATAACTCAACCTCATAACTGAAAATTAATTTTTAACGCAAACAAAAATTTATAAAAATAATTTCAAACTAGAATAAAATTTTTTTTTTCTTTTGATTTTTAGAATTTTTTTTCTAAATAATTATTCAGGAAAACTTATGTCAAAAAATCTTTTGCCAAAATAGATTTTTTAAACTCAAAATATTTTTTGATAAAAAAAGCGAATTTTATCAAGTTAATTTTCTGCAATATTATATTGTTTAAATAAAATCTTGTGAAAAAATTTAGAAACGCAAAAAAATGAATACAATGAGGAAAGAAAAAAACTCACTTTGATGATGATTTCGGCAACAGTTTTCGGCTTTTCGACACTAATATTTTCCTTGTTTTCCACTTTGACTTTGTCTTGACTTTTTCGTCTGGGTGGTACAGGTGGTGATGTTGGAAGATCCGTTTCCTCCGTATATTGTTTAAAGGCACTTGTTGTTTCTTTGGAGTTTCTCTCAAAATTATTATGAAAAACGCCAGTGGTATCTTCGGAAAGTTCATTTTGATAACGAGAAATGGGAGATGTGGTATAACTTGTAGGACTTGTAGGACTCAAAGGGGCCGGAGGTGGCGGACGATAAGGCGGTGGTTCACGAAGTGGAGAAACAGGAGTTGCAAGGTCAGGAGTTCTAACTGGCGAAGTAGGCGAGATACCAAAACTAAAACCCGGAGATGAGAGATCTAATGAAGTTTGGCGATATTTTTTCTTCAGCAACAAATATTTTTCTCCCTGCAAAGGAAAAAGAAAGGAGGATTTATAAATATTTATACTACAAAAAAAAATGTTCAGAAAATTTAAATTTGGTAAAATCTTTTAAAAAATAATTGAAATTTGGTAAAATCTTTTCAAAATAATTGAGTTTTTAATAAATATAAAAAAAAAATCAAATTTTTGAAGAATTTTAATTAAAAATGATTTCTTCAAAATTTTAATAATTCTAGAAAAGTAAATTTACTTTATTCGACGGTAATTGAAGCTTAACAACTTATGATAAAACAATTCGAAGAATTAGTTTTTTTATAAATATTGTAATGTCATTTTTCGAAAATAATTGGATTTTGTAAAAAGAGTTTTTGTATAATTTAAGAAAAACTAATTAATTTTTGGAAGAATTTTAATTAAAAATGTTGAACATAATTTAATTTTAGAAAATTAGAACGAAAAAATTCTGAGAATGAGTTTATTTAAAAATATTTTAATATTATTTTTATAACCTAATTTTCATTTTTATTAAATTTACACTTGAAGGTTTTTCATTAAAATTTTTAAAAATACTATTATTTCCAAAATTTTCAATTAAAATTCTTTAAAAGTTAACTTTTAAAAATTGTAATAAAATACTTGAAAAAAAGGTTTATTTTCAATTAAATTTTACAAAATTTCAATTATTCAAAATATTTTTAATTGCATATTTCAAAAATTTAATTAGAAAAATTATTCAAAAATAACTTTTTAAAGATTTGTTGCATTTTATACTAAAAATGTGGTATTCTGTTGCAAAATTTGGAAGAAAAGTCGAAAAAGTCATAATATCTAAGGCCTGTTATTATTAAAAAAAATTATTTCATCTAATTAATTAACTTTAATGTTTACTAATATTATTATTGTATTAATATATTAAATATTTATAACAAATCATTTCGTTATTCAACAAAAAAATAAGCCCATGAGCTTATCGAGATTTATTTAAGATATTTAATTTATTTGTGTAGATTGATTCGGGAAAATTGTTAACTTCTTCAAATTTAATATTTAATCACCGAATGATAAATTCACTTCCTTCAAAAAAATATTAAATTTGCGTTATAATTCATTTTTAGTAACTATACTTTTCCTACTTGTAATAATCACCTTATATTTTGAGGTTATATTCACATTTTCAAAGAATTAAAAAGCAATTGTCAGATTTTTTTTTGTTTGAAAAGAAGCAAAGACTGGAACGAATAGATGGAAAATATTTTAGAAAATTAACACGCAAATTTAACCCGCCATATTGTTGCTAATTCGAAAGTAGTCACGTGACTAATTGTATTTCTATTTCAGTCATGTCAGTAATTTTATTTTCATACAGAAAAAAAAGAAATTTAGCATTGTCACAAAAAATTATTTTACTATTTAAAAGCTATTTTTTCTAGTTTTGCTAATTTAATTAAATTATGTCACGTGACAACAACAATGAATTTTTCCTGTCAAATATTTGATAAAGAACAACAATAAAGAACAAATATTCAATAATAGTTCAATTGTCGAACTACTGTCAACTATATGCAACAAAGCAATAATTGCTTAACGTAATTAAACAATTGCATCTAAACAATAAATTACGTTTGAAAATGAATTAAAATAGTAAAATATTTCGATCTTTCAAATATTTGTGCGTTGATCTGGCAACAATGTGACGTTTATAAGCAACAAGTCGTTTCTGTCAGGAGAGAAAAATAAACAGCGCATGACACATTCATAGGACTTACCTCCTCATTTTTGATTGTGGCCAATATATTCACATATTCCTTGAATCTATTTCGTGCCTCCACTGGAAAGTAAAAAAAGGGAAGACTTTTTAAACGATGAAATGATATTGAATTAATTATTCAGTCATATTTATTCACAGAGAGCAGGACACTCATATCACAAACACAAATCACTCGTAAAACTTTTTTTTAACTCGAAATAAACCTACCTCGTGTTTCGGGATCTGTGAGAAACTTCTTAAAATACTTCACAAGGTCGTGATTTCGCACTGAACCACCGTTTTCCAATAAATATTTGCGTATTTCCTCCAACGACAGTTCACTGGGCGTCGCCATCTTTACACTACTGAGGGTGGCACACCAGCGCTCCTGTCGGCAGCTCCGCTCGTTCTTCTGTTGGCCGGTAAAGAAGATTTTCAGTGTTGAAAATATTTACGAATATAAATAATTCGTTTTGTCTTATAAATATTATATTATTTTGATTTATGAAGCTTTTTAATTATTTTTCTAATTATGTTAACGAAATGTTCAATAATTATAAGCAGAAGATAATCAAAAGTAAGTGAATGAAATATATTTCCGTTTCGAGTTTTCTGAAAAAAAATTGTTAGGAATATACTGAAGAGTGAACAAATATTTTCTCCATTTTTTAAACGTTTTAAACAATTTACGGTAGTTTCAAAATAATTAGAATTAATTAATTATCCTTTTTCGCTTATTTTGCTTGTTTCTTTTTCGATTTCATTAACCGAATTAATTACTTGTATAAGAATTTTCACAGTTTATTCATTAAGTCTTCTGTCGTTTAACAATAAGTTAACCTTTAAATTGAAGTACTTTCTAATTGTTTTATTCATAAAAAATCTTTTATAAAAAATTATAATTTATTATTAGGTACGTTATTTGAATAAATAGCGATTCTTTAACTAATTTTTAATTTTTTTCTCTCTTGTTTTATTACCTTTATCAAAATTCGAATATTTTCTTAGCTTTCTTCACAGTCAAATATTTTTAATTTTAAACTTTAAAAATATGAAATTATCAATTTTAAGAATTTTAAGAACATATATCTATTTTCGAGAAAACAATTTTGAACATATATCTCTTTTCGAGAAAACAATTTTATGCGGAATTTATATTAATAATTTTATATTAATAATGCAATAAAAAAAATTTGAGAAGCGCTCCCAAGAAATAGTTACCTAAGAAGCAAAAATTTTTAGGTTATGTTTATAATTTTTGTAGTAAAAATACAGAAAGAGAATCAATTAATATCACAAATTTTTTATTTTTAAGTCCTTATTACATCCAAAATATTCTAAAAAAAACTTATTTCAAATTTATATAATTAAAAGTAAACTTCTAATAAATATAAATCTAAGACAAACATAACCCAAAATTCGTTTGCTTCTTGTAAAAACGAAGTCTTAAAGTTTTTTTTTTAAATTTAACCCTTTAACGACGAGATGTGCTACTTTTCAACATGAAATTTAATCTCTTACAATTACTAGAAAAAAGCCATAAAAGTTTTTAAAAGTCCATACCCTACTATTTTTGGGGTCGCTCTTTCGAATGGTGTGGTCAAAATTTTCAAAAAATGATATTTAACCCTTCTTTTTTCAAAAATACTAAAAAAAGTCAAGTTTTTTTAATGTAATTTTTTTCAAAAGAATTTTTTTCTGTGTCATAACGCTTTTCAAATAGAACAAAAAGTATCAAAAACGTGTTCCCGATAGTTGTACTTGAAAAATATTCATTTCTAAATTTTATTTTTTTCGATTTTGAATTTAAAATGGCGCTTGAAGGACAAAAATTTTTTCTTATTTTATGTAAGATGACAAACTTTTTCAAAATTGCTCAAATCTGATTGAAATTTGTTACTCAGGGGTTTTCGTGGTCGCTGATTACGAATTTGAAGTCTGATTTCAAAAATTCAAAATGGCGGATCCAATATGGCGGATGACTTTTTAAAAAATTGATCGGATTCGCTTGAAACTCGTTACTCGGGGGTTATCGGGGTCGCTGGTTACGAATCTGATGTCAGTTTTTCAAAATTCAAAATGGCGGATCTAATATGGCGGACGAAATACAAAAATTGTTCAGATTTGCTTGAATCTTGTTACTCGGGGGTTTTTGGGGTAGCTGATTACGAATTTGATATCAGATTTTCAAAATTCAAAATGGCGGATCCAATACGACAGATGACTTTTTTAAAAATTGATTGGATTCGCTTGAAATTTGTTACTCTGCGGTTTTTCGCGTCACTTATGACGAATCTGACGTTAGATTCAACAAATTCAAAGTGGCCAAAGTATAATGAAAGACTAATTTTTTTAATTTACTCAGGTTTGCTTGAAATTTGTTAGTGTGGTATTTTTAGGGTGGCTGATTACGAATATGAAGTCACATTCCAAAAATTCAAAATGGCGGAATTATTATACTCTTTTTGCTCTGACTCTACCAGTATCAACTTATCTATATTTCACAATATGTGACAGGAAAATTTAAAAGTGATCTATGGTACGAGAAAATCGATGTTAGTTTTTCAAAATTCAAAATGGCGGAACGAATATGGCAGACGAAATTAAAAAATTAGTCGGATTCACTTGAATTTTGTTACTCTAGGGTTTTCGGGTCCACTGATTGCGAATCCGATGTTCGTTTTTAAAAATTCAAAATGCTTGGTATAAAATTAGCTATAAGAATTGGTAAGGATATTTTTTACACCTCGTCTGCCTTATCGATTCCACCATTTTGAATTTTGAAAAACTAACATCGGATTCGCAACCAGCAACTCCAAAAACCCACGAGTAACGTGTTTCAATCAGGTTTAAGATATTTTGAAAAATTCGTCCGCCATTCTGGATCCGGCATATTAAATTTTTTTAATCCAACGTCAGATTCGTCATTATCGAACCCAAAAACCGCAGAGTAACAAATTTCAAGCGAATCCGATTAATTCTTAAAAAAGTCATCTGTCATATTGGATCCGCCATTTTGAATTTTGAAAATCTGATATCAAATTCGTAATCAGCTACCCCAAAAACCCCCGAGTAACAAGATTCAAGCAAATCTGAACAATTTTTGTATTTCGTCCGCCATATTAGATCCGCCATTTTGAATTTTGAAAAACTGACGTCAGATTCGTAACCAGCGACCCCGATAACTCCCGAGTAACGAGTTTCAAGCGAATCCGATCAATTTTTTAAAAAGTCATCCGCCATATTGGATCCGCCATTTTGAATTTTTGAAATCAGACTTCAAATTCGTAATCAGCGACCACGAAAACCCCTGAGTAACAAATTTCAATCAGATTTGAGCAATTTTGAAAAAGTTTGTCATCTTACGTAAAATAAGAAAAAATTTTTGTCCTTCAAGCGCCATTTTAAATTCAAAATCGAAAAAAATAAAATTAAGAAATGAATATTTTTCAAGTACAACTATCGGGAACACGTTTTTGATACTTTTTGTTCTATTTGAAAAGCGTTAAGACACAGAAAAAAATTCTTTTGAAAAAAATTACATTAAAAAAACTTGACTTTTTTTAGTATTTTTGAAAAAAGAAGGGTAAAATATCATTTTCTGAAAATTTTGACCACACCTTTCGAAAGAGCGACCCCAAAAATAGTAGGGTATGGACTTTTAAAAACTTTTATGGCTTTTTTCTACTAATTGTAAGAGATTGAATTTCATGTTGAAAAGTAGCACATCTCGTCGTTAAAGGGTTAACTTATTTTTTGGACTTAAAACGAAAATAAGACAATATATTAGGTTTTAAAATCAGTTTTCTAATCAGAAATTTAATCGCAATATTTGAACTAATGTAGGTTGTTTTAGTCAAAATCAGACTTAAAATAAGATTTACAATTTTACAGTGAATTCAAAATAACCGATTATTTTTCTATTATCAAATAAATATTTTCTTGAACCAAATAATTTTTATTTAAATTATTTAAATGGTATTTGTTTAAAATAAATAAATTATTGCTTTAAATACAATTTATTTGACTTATATAACAATTATTTAATTCAAATAAAAATTATTTAATTTATAAATAAAAATTATTTGATTCAAGTGAATATTTATTTGATTCAAGTAAACATTTGATAACAGACAAGTAATCATTCATTTGAATCAAATAAATTTTTTTCTATCAGCGCGAAATAATGTTTATCATTTTTATGTTTAAAAATACCAATTTTAATGTGACTTATTTGAATGGGAACGATGACTATTTTCGCATAAATGTTAAAATAGCACTGGAATGAGGGAAAGCGAGGCGAGTCGCTTAAATATTCTCGCGTGCAAGCACAGTATATAGAGAGTAGGGCTCTATGGATTTTGTAGGTAAATGCAACGACAAAGTCAGCGTTAAGTCCGGATGAGGATAATAAATTGAATTTAACGCAGAACCGTTTGAGTATATCACGGGTGGCCTATACTCGCGATTAGCCTAATGCCTTGCGATGAAGTATTGCGAGAACGTGGATTAATTCTTGCACGCGATTGTTTAAAGGGTGATGACAAAAATTAAATTGCGCTAAAAAATTCAAATTAATTACGAAAATTAATTATTATTAAATTAATTAAATCTTGAAATAATTACTTGATGAAATTAATATATATAACAAAATTAAATTTTATTAAAATGATGAAATAAAACTTGCGCATTTAATAATTATTGTTAGTAAATTAATTAATTATTTATTTAATTTAAATATAAATTTTCGATTTTAATTATTTTTTATTCATTTAATATAATTAATTTGTTTTTCAAATTCAGAATGTCTTTTTCAGAATGGAAGTTTGCAAATTGGTGTCGTGTACATTATAAACTGCTTCTGTCTTCCCTAAGAACGCACGGGTTATATTCTCTATATTTATTCGATGCCTAATTACCTAACTGCCGCGATAAATTCTCTCGAAATTTACTGTTAGTAATATTTTCTTCAGTCACATATTAAGACACGTCTAGTACAAATTACTCATAGTCTGTGTCTTTTACTTCTTGTCAATGAGAAGAAAAAATATTCAAAAGGATTTTTTTTTGTATTTAAACGCTTCTTTAGAATTTAAAAGTTGTTTTCTTATTTAAAAGGTTTTTTTATATGTTACGCAACCTTCCAAAAAATTTCAGGTTATGTTTATGATTATAAACATAACCTGAAATTTCTTCAGGTTTTACTAGTCGAGCCTTTTTTAATTTTATAAAATAAAAATAATTTTTATTGAATATTTTGGATGTGATAACTTGATAAGAATTTAAAGTATCATTAGTTGGCATTGAGAGTTCTCTTTTGTATCATGACTTCAGAATTATCAAACAACCTAACTTTTCTTGTCTATATAGAGAAAATTTGCTACCGCG